AAAACTCCTCTCCTGGCATCTTTTGGTATTTACCTCCACGTGAGTGCAATGTGTTTATAGTCAACGGCTGTCTTCTCAAGAGGATCAGCCATCAGCCCTGCCCCCAACCCCGTGCCCCACAAGGCTGTCGCTCTCTCCAGGGTGGAGGGTACAGGAGCCCAGTGAGCCCAAAGCCCGTCAGGGTTAGGGCTCAGCTTTCTGAACGGAAGTCTCCCCCCAACCTTCTTTCTTCGGTCAGCCCTGTGCCATCTGGGTCCTCTCTGCCCAGCTTCCTTCCTCCTAACTCGGCGAGCTCCGCCGAAACCTGCCCACGATGGGTGACCTTGCCGGTACTGGGATCGACTGGTGACACAGTTCCTAGCACCCTAGCAACAGGAAGCCACCACTGGACAGGCTGACCGGCAGCTGGTGATGCTAAGGGTTCTGAAATAAACAGGCTCAGCTCCCTGCTTGCGAGTCCAGGCCGACTCAGGTGGGCCTGCAGGACGGGCAGAACTGCCTGTGTGGGTTTCCGAAACGGCACCTCTTTACGGGAGTGGAAAGTGTGAGCCACGGTCTCAATGTGTTGCCTGTACCAACATGTTTCAGTCAGGGAAATCAACCGACACAGAGGTGATTCGATTCCCAGCGACCCATGCGGGTCAGAGCGGAACCGAGTGCAACTTGGGGTTCCTTCAACGGCTGACTTTCCAGAAGTCTCTCCCCAGGCCTTTCCTCAGGGGTCCCTCTGGGTGGCCTCAAGGCTCCCACATTTCAGTGAGCAGCCAGGACAGTGACTGTTTGGGACGCCCAGGAAAGCTCTCACCTCCGACGAAGGGCTCGCTGAGATTCCCATTTGACAGATGGGAAGACAGACGCCCAGGAAGGTTCAGAAAGGAGCCCACGCACCCTCTGTGTGGTTCCTGATGAGGCCTGTGTGTCCCTGGCCTGAGCACTAGCTAAGTCCCTCTCCTCCGAGCCCCCAGGGCCAGCTTGTCCCCTCTCCTCCGAGCCCCCAGGACCAGCTTGTCCCCTCTCCTCCGAGCCCCCAGGGCC